CTTTTTTTTTTTTCCTCTCTTTTTTTTAAGTTCTTAGGCAAAAGCAAAATTTCACTTGGATTCTTTCCTGTCACTGCTTATGCAAAAAAAATTGCATTTCTGCTGCGTCGTTTTTCAGTCATCGTGCTCGCTAGCACAATTATTTATAAAATGCTTTTCTAGCAGTTAATGGAGAAATTGTTGCTCAAGCGGAGGAACACATCACCGTTCTCTTTCTGCAATACTAGAAGTGATCTCATCAGTCCCATGCAGTCGGCATATAATGACGTCGTCTGTGTGGGAGTGCTCTAATGTTGGTTGGTGAGCTCTGGTTCAGTGATAATTACTAGGGAAGACTGGTTTTTGGGTGTTTGGACTCATTTCGCTGCATGTGGGCCAACTAATTCTGGCAGCATATGGGCCTTGTTCAGATTTGGCCTCCACATGTGGAAAATGAGCTCTATGTTTGGGTTGTTATTCATTCTATAGCCGGATTGGGGTGTTTATTTTGGTGGTTTTATTTGAGGCGTATAGTGATAATCCATCGTAGTTGCGTGGAACAAAGCTATTTATTCCTTTGATAGAAATAGGATGACTTTTCTCTGTGTTGTTTTTTTTTAATTATTATTATTTTGGTGTGCTACAAAGGTTGCATAAATGCTTTATTTGCCACCACAGTAGCCTCAATCTACTGCCACCTTAAAATACATGGGAAGATATTTTAGCCAAAGCTAACACCACTCTCATTGGAATAAAGAAGTCAAGATATGATATTTTAAAAGTATAACACATGAGGCCTATTTCTATAAGCAGTTTTAGCCCTTTAGCCAATGAACTGTGAGATGGCTAGCTGGCTAGCTTACTAGCTTACAGTGTAAGCTAGGCTGCAGTTAGTTTAGATTAATGGAAACACAAGTAGGTAACTGGGGTGTCTATTTTAAATTTCTGTTATTTCCTTTGTTGCTTTTCAAGTTTTCCAGCTACACAGAGGAACCTGAATGACTCTTTGCCTACGCCCATCGTGCTTTCACATGACAGTATTACTCCACCTGCACACCAACATTATGGCCAACTCTGTCCTCTTGCCAGTAAACACCGCCGAACCTCCCAGTTTGGTTTGTTTCATAACATTTTTTTTTAAGTGATCCTTTCAGTTATTGCACCCATATTGTCCAAAAGAATAAAAACAACAACTTGTAGTTGCTAGATGGAAAAAAACATCTCACTTTATGCATGCGTGTCTTACACAAAAAGCACAAATGTGGGTGTTTGTGTGGCTGCTTTTCTGTATGGGCTGTTTGTCTGCTATCACCCAGTCAGCCAGTCTGTCATTCAGTCACTTTTATGAATGTGTGTGGGTGGGAGCTGGTGAACCAGTTTTGCCACCTGTGTTTGCGTGTGTGTGTGTGACAGAGAGAGAGAGTGTGTATGTGCATTAGATCCTTTGGACTATCTGCAAGCTAATTATATAACACCTCTCCCATTCACTCCCACTCTGCATCTCTTCCTCCATATCTCTTTTAGTGTCCTTCCTTAACCCCTTCACACACACACACACACACACACAAAGAGCATCGATTCAATATACAGAGGCACATCCTGTTATTGTCGGGTCGTTTATGAGGATTGGGACCGTGTGCATTGTGTCCCCGTGAGGGTGGTGGCTGTCATGCTAAGGCTGGGGAATGGCTCGTGTTGTTTGCTGCTCTCCTGCTTGTTTTGTTTTTTTGTCATGTATTGTTTTGTGCTCCTCAAGACTAAACTGTGGCTGCAGTATCTTGTTTGTTGGTTTGTTGTGAGTCCGATTCAGGCTCCAGTTGGTTGTTGTCTTACTGAAACTGTAGCGGGGATAAGAAAGCAACTATTTCCCTGATTACTGGTGTTATTAGTTTTATTGGCTAGAGACTTTTCAGTGTTTTAGCACAGAAACACTCATTTAGATTTGAAAACATAACTTAGGCTAATTTGATAAATAACTTGCCAGATATTTACTTTCGTTTTCAAAAACTGCACCAAGGCTGCAAATGTTAAATTTAAAGGCATATTTGGAATTATATGAGTTTGTCACAGTATGATAATCTTGAGTAAAAAGGCCAATTTTTACAGTATTAACAGAAAAAATGTAAACAAAAATTTTAAACATAATGTAATCCCCTTTTAAACAAAAAAGTAGCTGTATTTCAAAGTTACAGCTGCTGTATAACAGCGATATTTATTTTCATTCCATAATATAGACTAAACATATGGTAATTTAGTACAAGTTTTGAAATGAGTATTTTACTTGATGATATCCTTTTTGCTATTCTGCTGCTTTTGTTTAGCTAAGTAATTGGGCTAGCTAGTGGAATTGCTAGCCTGCATTCTGCTGCTTTACAGAAAACCTGCAGGGTTCTGTCTAGATTTAATGCAGCCAGAAATATTTTCAGTCAAATTTTTTTTTTCTTGATAGTGTGGGAGCAGTTTAGTGGCTTCGTTTGAGTTGTCTGGTCGGTGCTGTGCAGCAGCAGCAGGTGGGAGACGTATAGCACTCTGGTACTCTGTCCACCATGCAGTCAGAAAAAATTTCTGTCACTTCACAAGCTGCACATATGCAGGAAGATTTTAGCGATTTGAAAGCAATTTTTTAGAACATTGTTGCATCTAGCTATTTGGTAGTGGCCTTTGCCGAATACAATGAGGACCTTGACTTGGTTCTTGGACTTAATAATTTAATTGTATCACAGTCTTAGCTCTTTACAACTGTGACAAACTGCCTCAGTGTTTTTCAGATGTAAAGTTTTAACTGAAACGTAACTTGAAAGCAATCAGGTCTTACATATGAGATAGATACAACTGCAGATAAAGAATAATAATAAAAAAATTGTGACATATTTAAACGTGGAAACAAAGAAGCATCCTATTTCTTTAATCTCTGTTTATGTTCACTTCAGCTTACTTTTACATTTATATTTGCTTCTTATGAAGTAACTGACATAAAACAGAGATTAACATTTAGATATCTAACTGCTCTGCTTCCTTAGTTGGAGTAACAGAACTAATTTCTTGTTTTACTGCAGCTGCCTTCTAAAACACAAAAGGAAATGCCCACAATTTCATAATAATATGTTGGGGATCAGCAACATGCAGGATTTTCCTCAGGGTATTATAAGCCTGGCGGGCCACCAGGCTTTACTTGTGTCCAAACCAGGCTAAGACTAAGCATTACTTTCTTTTCTTTTTTTCCAGTCTTTTTAAAATGTTTTCCATTTTTTAAGACTTTATTGTTGGTGTTATGGTATTGATCTTCCAATTTTTCAATAACACATAATTATCAAGTGACATTTAAAAATTTCTTGTCAACTTGTAACATTTTTTTTAACTCTAAAACACGACGGGCCGCTGGATGAATGACTTTCCTAGCGCCCAATCACTGGGCTTAGCAAGTTCTCTGGGGGAAACCTTTAACATGTATCAGAGTAGATCATTTTAATTTACACTGCAGTTATGATCTAATTAAAAGTACATTAAAAATTACAAAATAAACTTTACTCTGCAGAATTTGTGAAATAAACCAGTCTTACTGCAGGAAGTATTTCTAAAAATGACAAAAGTTGTTTAATGATATAGAATAACCTCTAGTTGTGTAAATTTCAGTGTTATTCTCTCAGATGAACAACATTACGGTGTGACTATGGATAGCGGCTCTGAGTATTTATGTGCTGGTGAAGTTACAGGTTACGTTATTCAAAAACGTTGAGGCTTTTTTGAATAAAACTATTGAAACCAGGAAGCTGCTATCACTCATTTAAGACCCAAACAGCAACAGTTTTTTTGTTGTTGTTGTTGTTTTTTATGCAGTCTGGAATAAAAATGTTTTGCAGTATGACAGTCTAAAAAAAACATCCTCACTGCTTTGTTCTATTTGGTCAATTCAATTTCTTGCATGACCTCAGTTTTTGCAAGTGTACATTACACTTAATAATTTAAAATCCCAACACTGAAATTTTTAAATTCATGATGCAGAAAACAAAAAGCGACAAACTGTCTGTTAACTACATGGAATGCGATCAAATCAAGTACCAAAGGAGAGTCACTACCACCATTTGAAGTTGTGTTTGTGTCAGTCTGAAATATTCCAGTTAAGATTATGACTGCTGACCATGAGATTTTGAACACTGAGCTCTGTTACCATTAGTTTTACTGTGTGTGTGTGTTTGTGTGTACGTGCGTTTGTTTGTAATACTTGTTGGGGACCATTTTCCTGACACATACTACGTCGTGGGGACCCACTGCTCCTTGTAGAAACTGAAGCCTGGTCCCACAAGGGAAACGCTGTTTATGGGTCAGAGATTAGATTTAGGACTAAGGTGTGAATTGAGTTTTGGTTAGGGTTAGGTATGTAATGGAAAGGTTTTGGGTTATGCTGTAGAAATGAATGGAAGTCAATTGAAAGTCCCACGCAAATGTGTGTGTGTGTGTTTAATGCTGACTTATCCTGGTGCAACACCTCCCACTTCAGCATGGTGCGGACTGAACGAAGTCGTGACTTGCGACGCCCTCAAACAGTCTGTCAGGGTGTGAATCCAATGCTGCACAAAACTTCTGTAGCATTAAGTCCACTTTACTTTGCAGCATTTTCAGCTTCAGCAAACAGAATTTGAATATTAACAATTTAATAATTTAATGAGGATGTTTTTTGTTTAATATTTAAAATAATTGGGAGGGTTTCTTATGTTCTTTAACATAAAGTAAAGCATTTTTGTATTGATTTGCCCATCGTTCTGTTTTTATTACGGAAGGAAGTGGTTTGCACATGAAGCAGCTTAACACATACTAGCAAACTAGACTATACTTTAACAAAGCAATCATCTTAACCCTAAAGACATTTTTCCAAATGATGATTCAAATGATGAATCAGTTCATGCTTTTCCTAAAGCATTGTCGGTTTCCTATAATTAGCATTAAGATTGAGACTAACACAAATGTCACATTGAGAGCCCTGTTCTAATGATCTTCCACCTTTCTTTCATCATTCCGTCCAGTGACAGCTACATCGTGCGTGTGAAAGCGGTGGTGATGACGCGGGACGACTCAAGCGGCGGCTGGCTGGCTCAGGATGGGGGGGCCCTCACCCGGGTGGGCGTCTGTCGCCTCCTTCCTACGGAGGTGATGCATCTCTCCGGCTCCAGTTCGCAGTTCGTCATCCGGGGGGAACGGCTGCGTGACAAACAGGTAAAAAAAAATAATAATAATCTCAATATCCTGATTTGGTTTTTGCTACGGGAAGTGATGCTGAGTTGCTTCTGGCTGAATGCATAGGTGATCCTGGACTGTCCGCTGAGGAAGGACATAGTGTACACTATCGCAATGCCGACATTTCACCACTGGAAGGTGGAGGACAGGCGGTGCGGACTGTCGTTCCAGTGTCCAGCTGATGCCAGAGCCTTCGACAGAGGGGTGCACAAAGCAATTGAAGACCTGACTGAAGGTACGCTGTGCTGGAATGTGGGTTTGGTTGGTCATCTCTCGCTGCGTTTCCATTTAATTCTCATGCAAATTTTGAACGAACTTTTAAAATTTTGCAAAACAAGAAAATGCAAATTCAGCGTGTTTGATACTGATTTCACTATGTCAGATGTTGACTTTATGCACAACTGTAATAAGCAGGTAAACATTTGCTATGTCAGCACTTATTCGGCAATAAGTCTAACAATAAATATTATGATTAAAAAAAAACTATTATTTTAGGTAATTTTATAGATTTTATGTTGAATGAAGGATTTGTTCTTTACTTATTATTAATCTACAGATGACTGTAAATGGATGTTATTATTTGAACAACGCAATGGCTCTAGTTAAGTTTATTTTGCTGTTTTTTAAAATCTGATATTAATAAAATGTAACGCTCGATACAAATACCACAAATTTGAAATGTTCAGCAGCTGCTTCTTCACAAAACCTTGTGCAAACCTTCTGGGTAAATAAAAAAAACATGTTACCTCACGAACAAGGCGTTTTTCTGGGGTAAAGTTTTACCTTGGTGATCAGTTTATTCCATATTCAGTGGAAGAACACGAGGTATAACAAGTGATTTAAAGAGGAAATTAGATTTTCTTAACTCTTGTCAGACATTTATTCAAACTAGCACTTAAAAAGAGAGTACCGGTTTAGCAGATAACAGGAAGGTTGAAGTGGGGAAATCCGTTCTTTTGGGTGGAAATTTATGTGAAGGCTTAAGGGTCTTCATTTTGTCGAGAGTAAACACACAATTGCTAATGCCAATAAAGATGTAAACATTCTGCTTCCTTAATCATTTAATAATTATTGAATAACCAATAATAACTTGAAATCGGTCTCATCAATGCAATTTATAGTTCTTAAGGAGAAATATTGTTCTGCTTAAATCAATGTCAGGAGATCAAAGATTAAAAAGAAAACGAAAACTGGAGATCGGCAACAAAACTGTAATTTGTGTATCTCGAACTAAATAAGCATCCATTTCTTCCATGCTGAAATTAAGAGTTCTTGAAAGTCAGAGAAAACACCTCTCTGGTTCATGACCAGAGGCGTTTAGTGGGCGGTGTCCAAAACATGGCAGGTAAAACCAGTCGGCCCTGGCGAGGACATGAATGAGCTCAAAGTATGCGGAGAATCATGTTCCGAAAATAGTTATTCTAAAGTTTTGATAATGCGACAGGAGGAGGAAGTTTACATTCAGAAGTTGTAAAACCTGACCATCGGTTAGAGATGAAAGATAGAGCTGCGCTTTCCGAGCTGCTCACTGCGACGTCTCCCTTTCCGCAGGATCCACGACTTCCTCTACGGCACTCCAGAACGAGGGAGAACTGGGGGACGACGACGTTTTCACTGTAAGCATTTTTTAATAAACAGAGTCCCTAAGAAAATGAGTCCAAAACGTTAAAACTTCGTTTTTTTTTTGTTGTTGTTTTCTTCTTCCCCCTGACAAATGCACGAAAAAGGAATCTCACTCATGCTAGGTGATGCTTTTCACGCTGCTGGTTTTAGGCCGGACATTTGTGGTTGCCTTGCACCATGCTGGTCTATTAGACGGGGTCAAAGTTGATGCATCTCTGAGCTGAGCGGGCGGCGGAGGAAGCCGCAGAGCCAACTTCTATTGTGCAACATGTTTCAGAGCGTTCAGCATGCAGGGCAATGTTTCAACTCCCTCTTCTTCCTCCAAAAGAAGCAACTAAGTAGCTCTTTAAGGAACTATGCGACACTGATTGTGATCTTCTATTGGGAATCGTAGTTTGAGGTATGAGCTGGCTGCAGGCCCCTCTGCTGGGTCGGGGGACGGAGAGGAGCGTGTGTGATGTGAAGAGGAAGCTCAAGACATGAAGTGGTTTTGCTTGACAAAGACAAAAAAAAAAAACAACCTTGTGTGCTTTGTTTCTTTTAATTTTCCATTCACATGCTAACAAAAACTTAAAAACTGGAATTTGATTGATGCGGTCCATACAGAGCTGGTGTGAATGCATCCTAAAGTAATTAGATTCATATCACTAAGCTGTAATAATCCTGAGCTGATCAGGACAGATTTCACTTGACACTTACTTGAGACCTTCGGGTCTCATGGGTTGGAAGAATTTTGACTTTACAGAAGTTTATGACGCAGTGAAGTAGATTTTGTTCCTCTAGCAGTGCATCTTTTATTACAATCATCAGAGGCTAAACAGAAGAAGTAGGCCCTTAGTGGTGGTGCTATTTGGCCAGGTAATCGTGTTGATGCTTTTCTTTTGTTTATGCTGCAACACAGGATAAAGCAGTTGGTGCAACACAACATCATGCCACTTTCATAGAGTCTGAGAATGGCCCGGACTGTCGTAGAGAGTTTTGGCACATATAGAACCTGGGTTCAAAAACTGGTTACCAGAGTCACCATCATGGTTTTCAAAGTTAAGGCCAGGCTACAATTTTGTCTCAAAATTATGAGACTATAAAGTCAAAATATACCAAGAATACTGTGGTACTTTTATGGTGTTTTCACACTTGCTAGTCCAGTAGACTTGGTTGGATTTGTGACCACAATTGCAGCATTTCTTATTGTTTCATGTAGTGCTGTTTGCTTTTATTGTGCCAAATGAACCAAACTAATTGAGCAACATGTTCCCACTGGCGATAGCACCAGACTTTTCGGTTGGTTTTGGTTGTATTTACCTAGCATGTAGTTTGCTTCCTGCATTCGGCGCGGTTTCCATATTCATTTGAATTGTGCTACTGTTCATTTCAACTGAACCGAGACCTTGGTTTTTAGGCGGACCAGAGTTTGCTCTTTTGGGCCCGCATCAGGGTTTGATTACGCATTCACACCTCCCTTAACAGACTGGACTTTGTAGGCAAACTAACTGGAGTTTGATTAAAGAGGACTAAACAGGGCTGGAGTGAATTCACCTTTAGAAACTTTGCTATGGCATCCTAATATAGGGCTGTGCTTAAAATATCACAATACACCAAACTAGACATGACAGCGTCTTATCTTCTACTGTCTACAAATCTTATGAAATTTAAAAGCTTACTCCAAGAATCAGAAGTGAAACGTAAAATATTGACCTGTGCTGCAGCTCTGCCACATAAACCATTTGCAAACTACATCTCATCAGCTCAGGATTTGATATTAGTCTTTGGTTATGCATACCTACCACGGCCGACAAATCTCCACCTCAGGTTAGCTTAAAGGCATTTTATGCTAACCCACCATTTACCTCCTCCTTTAGTACTGAAATCTGACACCAGAGCCAGCAGGCAGGGTCGCAAGGTCACTTCCTGTATCCCACCAACTCCCTCCGCGCGCACACACACACATACACTATCTTTGCGCCCTCCCATTTGGAAGGGAGAGCAGCCGCCGAGCTTGCGCGGAGCAGCTGTTTCCCAGCTTAGTGCGGGGCTGCTGATTTACGAGAGGAAGTGCCTCGTGGTTCATCTTTGACTCGAGCTGTCTGTTAGGGCCAAGACTAATAGGTGCTCTGCTGGGAGTGTACAGCCACCACAGAGACACACACAAACACATGAGCAGGAGTGGAGAGGTGAGGCTTCGGGGGAGAGATGGGGGTGCGAGGAAAACTGTAGAAACTTTCAGTGGAACGAATTCGAAGCAGTCCTCGGCTTTTGTTGGCAGCGAAACTGCATTGTTATTTTTTTAAATAAAGACTTGTATATTTCAGACCAAACGTAATGCTGCAGCAGTGAATAAAACCTTATCAGATATAAAAATATGCTTAATATCTCCATTTTAGTAGGATTTGTTTCGCATGTTACAAATACAAAGCGATCCCTGTTTGTCTGCCTTCTTTTAAAGAGTTTGCCATGAGTTGTCCTATCTGTGTTTTTAGTCCAGACTATACATACATACTGATTTTGGATGTTGATTGGGAAAAAGGTCCATGTTTCAATCGTGTCAACCGCAGTTGTCATGCCAGGCCGTTAGATGGCGCTGTGGTTTCAGCATGGTTGAATGCATCTGCACTTTTGACCCCTAGTTCCATCTCACTAGCTACCACCTCATTGTGAAAAATGGCCCGTGTCCGTCTCCCACGAACAAAGTGCTCATGTGACTCACATTGTGCGAAACTGAACACGTCAAGTAGCTCAGCGCAGCACGATGCTGTCCGCCATTGCTTTTGTTGTCCACCCACACATGCGCAGAAGAAACGCTGAAGCTATGTGTTCTGCACATGCGCACTTTTATACAAGCAGACGACTTCACACCTCTGCGGGGGAGTTACAGAAAAGTGTCAAAAAAAAAAGTGCTGGTGTGAGCAGCTCCGGTCACTGGAGGTGTGCAAACGGGCGGCTGGATCACAACAGAAATGTTACGGTTTAACTGAAGAGTGGCTTCGTGCAACAGGAAATACATGAGCCTAAATCTAATTTAGAATCTTGGGCAAGACCTGAAAATGGTCCGCATTCACTCTTTACTGTATTTGCCTCAGCTTATGCTGTTTTGCAAAGATTTTGCAGAAGCCAGTAGAGAAAGTAATCGTCGTTGCGACGTATTAACTTTGCAGAACCTGAATACATACACGCTTTTTGCCAGCTATGCATAATTTTCCAACCACCTCAAGATTTTTTGCACTACTTTGTATTGATTTATCAAGTGAAATCCCAACAACAGCATTCATGTCTGTAACATGACCAAAAGTCAAAGATAGTGATACCTTTTCAAGATATGGTCTACCATATTTTACGTGTACTACATTCTCTTACTATACATTTTTGACAACGGGTGCAGAATTGTAACTCCATACCAGTTTGGTCACTTATGGTTTGAACAACCCCTTAAAGGGAATGGCGTCTGCCATTTAGTGGGGCGAGCACGAGCAATGATGGACTTCCCTAAATTATTTCTCGTTCATCAAACCTAAACTTAACTCGGTCCACCCTCGTTCTGCGCGTCTCCTGCCTCTGTGTCTATTTTGGCTCGTTCACAACAGGGGGAGTGCAAACTATTGAAGCAATTCAAGGTTCGTGCAAGATTGACCTGCTGAAGGATGACTCCTCCTGGGCTTTTAGTCGGGGCATGTTTCGAATCAGAAAATAACCTGAAATGCCCTCCGTCCAGCCTTGGACTGGGATACACAGCAAGAGGATGTCCAGTAATATAAACTCTCCCCCCTTTCTCTGTCCTCTTGTGACGTTTGGGCTCAGCAGCAGAAAGTCTGGTCTGTGTTTTGAATTAGTTGCAGCCACGGAGGCCGGAGTTGGACTGGTTTTGTACCGTCTCCACTTCTCCTTCCCCCCAGTAATGGCTTCTGCAGGGGGGCGGGACCAGGAGCAGAGGCAATATGTTATGTTATTTTTGGCTAGCTGCTCTCAGGGCTTTGTAAGAAAGCTGGGGGAAATTCTCGGCATGGCAGTATCCATGTGGGGAGCAGGATATAATGGGGATGGCTTCGGCAGACAGAGCAGACCGACACACACAACAGATCTGGGTCAAATAGCTCAAATAACATCCCAGATTTGATCTGAAATGATATGTAATGCAAGGTTTCAAAATGCCTGCAGATAACATATCCAAGGACTGTATGTAACCTACTATTGATGCACAATGAAAACCATTCCAATTTGCCCGATATTTATGATTACAAGTGTTTTTATGTCGAACAGGTGCTTGCAGTTTTAACATTCATAAAGAGTCACTGATATGCAAACAATGTTCACAGGCCAAAATGGAAAGACGTGTCAGCGATATTCAATACTGGATATCCGATCAATATCCTCTATCCAGCTGGACCAAAGGTTATTACCACTGGTGGCTAAGTCGATAGCAGAGGGTCCTCAGACTGTAAACATGTAGCTCTGTGTAAGTCACTATTCCTCTAACACTCCCTTTCTTAATCACCAGTGACTTATTTAGCCTGTCATAGTCCAGTTACACTCTTTCACCCCTTTCACCGGACTGAACCACAGCTTGAATAGCGCCTACACTCGCACTCAAATAACCACGATGACATGATGAGACAGGAGCAGCACCGACCTGACTGTCAGACGGTGCCCTCAGAGGATGACCCCTGGTTTGCTCCGTCTGAAAATGTGTCTGTCTGAGAACGACACGGCAGCAGCCCGACTGCCTTGTGTCTGGCCAAGGTTTGGGTTGGATTTGAGCCCCGACAGCCTTTAGCGGAAAAGGAACAGGATACTATTTGTGCGCGCGCACATATAGGCATATGCAGAGCAGTGCCGAGCGCCGGCAAGAGAGGAGAGAGGCAGGCGGAATGTGGGGAAAAGTGCGATGGGGGGAGAGAGGGGGACAGGTTGTTGTGAGGCTAGAAGAGTTAAGATCAGGGGTGGGGGGTTTCCGGGGTGTGTGTTGGAGAGGCCACAAAAGGTGACTCTGGGGACCGTGTGCAAATGTCTTGAGTTATGATATTGAGTTGCACCACATGCTTTTTCTGGAGCATTTTTGAAGTTGTGTTTCTTCTTCCCAAATGTTTAAGCAATCTTTTTGCTGTAATAGACATTTTCTGATCTTTGTTGTTGAGTTTTAAAAAGGTTTTGTGGTCTCTAAGATGGCCTTGGTTATGTTGCTGCTTCTTCGTATGTTGAACGTTGACTCCACATGCAGTTACCCAAGCTTTGACGAAGTGGCTCTAACAAAACATTGCACGTGTTTTCCTGTGTTTTTTTCCCAATCAGTGCTGCTACAAGGCTTCCTGTTTTTGTTTGTCCAATCACGGTGTACTCTAACGCTGGCTATTTGTCTGCCGCGTCCAATGAAAAAGCAGCGACTGAGCACACATCCTGTGTTTGTTTGTACACTCAGAACACCACAGACAGCTCATCCAACTCCTCTCAGAAATTGGACAGCTCCCTGCCGCCGCTCGAGTCCTCGCCCCTTCCTCAGAGACATAAGTGCACGCCAGGACATCGACATGACCTGCATGACTCCTACCGCCTCACAGACCACTACTACTTGGACCAGGTAAACGGGTTTCCTTTATTCACGGTTGAATCGAGGTGTGCATCTTCTCAAGTATTAGCCATTCACTGATCAGTGCAGTTGCGTCTCTGTCACTATTGAAACACTTGTTGATCATCGCGCCTGTGGTGGCACTGCACCAAGAACCACTGAAGGAAGTGACATAAAAACCTCTGAAAAAGACACTGAGCACATCTTCCTTCTTCCTGCTGACTTCTTCTTCTTGTGGAATGACGTCATAGTTTTGTAGTTGTAGGATTTCTCTTTTGTCTTTGATTAAAGACCATGAGTCATCTCTTGTGGTTGTAAATATTCAGAATGCCATGCACTGTTGCTCGGCTCCTGCTTCCTGAGGGATCTCTTACTCTCCTTTGCATTCACATATGCATTGAAATTGCATCCAATCACGATGGCTGCAGTTCCAATCACTGCATCCAAACCTAGACCTAGGTTTTTTAGGTGGACAAGAGATTGCTTTTTTTGGTCCGCATTAGAGTTCGATTGCAAATGAACCGGACTTTCTAGGAAAACAAACTGGAGTTCAATTAAAGTAGACTAATCAGGGTTGATATGAATGCACTGGCTTGTTATTGCACAGCAACCACAAAAATGCAGTCAGTTTTCTTACCACATTTGACTTTCCCACAATTACAACTTGTGCAAAGGTGAGTTGTGGTAGTGTATTATGGGAGATGTAGTGTGACCTACATGGGCACTCAACTGACATTGACAGTGACTTGGTCGACCTCAGTGAGATTTTTCTTGGTTTACAGACAAGTTTATCCAATGCTCTTCACCAGGTGTACCTGTAAATGTGGCCTGTATTGTTTTTTTGTCTAATGTAAAGGTAAAGGTTCTTTCTGCCTCTCCCCTTCAGCCATTGTCTCGGATTCCTCGACACGTCACCTTCGAGGATGAGGAAATTGTCCGAATCAACCCCCGGGAGCGCAGTTGGGAGCGGAGCACAGAACGCTACCTTGGACGGCAGGCAGATCGCTCCTGGAACACGGGCTATGAGGACTACCGACACGCCATTGTGCGTGATAGATACATCCACCCGGATGAGACTGAGTCCTATGTACACTTCGACAAAACAGAGGCACAGAAGCACGACTATACCTACCCGCTGGCACCTTCCTTATCGCCATCAGACTCTGACCCCGCCCTGGGATCTTTGACCTCTAAGGGTCACAGCGGGTCCTACCACCAGCCCTCTTCTTCGGTCGTTTCCAGCCAGCCTCGGTCGTTTTTCACGAGCTCTTCCCTGTCCTCCAATGGAAGGAAGGGCAAAGGGTTGGAGCGTGCTCAGTGCGAGCACTGCGGCGAGGCGTTCTACCTCTCCGAAAACCGGAGAGGACGGTGCCAGGACGCCCCAGATCCCCTGCGGTTGTGCATCCGACGGGTCAGCTGCATGTGGCTGGCAGACACCATGCTCTACCACTGCATGTCTGACCCAGAGGGGGAGTACTCGGACCCCTGCTCCTGCGACGGAGGCGAGGGTAGCGGCGGGGGCCGACTCGGCACCCGCTGGCTGGCTTTGCTAGGCTTGTCCGCGGTGGCGCCGTGCCTCTGCCTCTACCCGCCCCTCCACGCCTGCCACCGGGTGGGGCTCGCATGCGGCTGCTGCGGAGGCCGACACAAGGCCCAGAGCTGAGATGTCGTACTTGGAATCCTCTCAGAGGAAACATTGGAAAAAAAAAAAAACTTAACCCAACGCAAACACAGAGAAAAGGAGGGATGGGGAAAAAGCTCAGCAGAGGAACAAGTGGTCGCGGCTGTTCGCTCTCTTGCCTTGGTTTTTCTGGGTTTCTCTACAAATTCCAGACACTGAAATAAGCCAAATAAGAAAAAAAAAAAAAAAACAGTTGGTGCATTTTGTGAACAGCCTGGGAAGATAAGCTCCCCCTTATGGCAGACAGTTCTTTCAGCTCTCCATGTGGCCATTTCATGCTCTGTTTCTAAAGAGAGAGCAGTCTTTTTCAGGGGGCCTTTTTTATAGCCAACCTATACGTCATGTATCACATATGCAGGTACTTTATATTGTTATATTTGTACATTGACTCGGCCTCAAAGAACTTGAATTCTTTGTTGTATTTCTTTTTCCTTCCTTTAATGTCTCTGTGGCCATATTGTTTATTTTCTATTCAAACATCAGGCCCGCTCAGTTCAACAGAAATCAGACACTACACCTCTTTGGGAATGTGTGTGTGTGTGTGTGTGCGTGCGTATTTGCGTGTTTATATGAGTGTAAGTTGAGGCCTTTTGTTGTCTGTACTGAAGCTTGTAGTAAAGCTAATGTATATTCTCTTCATAAGTTCTCTGCGGACATCTTTCCTCGCTCAACCGAATGCGGTACGAATCTTAAAGGCACAGTTTTGATTTCTGAAGCAAGGTTCTGTGAAGGTCTTATCAGCAACAGGTCCCTTTCTTGTGAGCAGGCAGATGTCTTATCACAGTGAGTTTGTAGAAACGTCAATGAATCCTCACGTGAACCTCTCCGTTGCATCTGACTCAGGCAGTTTGACTAAAAAAACAACGTTTGCGGGACCACGACGCCGCGGTTGCGGATGTCCATCGTCTACACTTCTGCAAGAGGCCGCCGGGAGGTTTGTCACTTTTTCTCCGCCGAGCGATGTCAACGCCACTGACGAGGAGTTGCGCTGTCGGAATGATTCCTAAACAACTTACGAGACCTGGAAAAGCACAGGAATGCGAAAAAGAAAAAAAAGACAGCCTGTCACAAAATTCAACAGTTCCCTCCCCTTTTGGTGGACCAGAGATTAGACTGACACGATGCATAGTGTTATGGATAAGACTTTTTGAATATGCACAGATGAGCGCGCACGTTCCTGACGGTAGACTAAGCTAAAAAGGAAAATCTTGACTGAATCTTCAGGACAGCTTTTTAGGGTCCTAAATGTGAAAGAGTGTCGATGCATTTTACTACATGTCAAATAACGAGCTTCAAAGTAGAAACTTTTTCTTCTGGTTTATTATTTGGTAAGGTTTTTCATTCATAATTGAACACTTAAATCACACTTCTGCTTCCAACCAACACTGTGTCTCACCTATAGTCATTGAACTCACTGCAATGTGACATCTTTCCAGTGCAGGCAAGGGAATCATTAGCGATGACACCTTAACAGAATCTCTCTTCAGCGAATGTAATCAATCCTTTTAATACTCTTAAGATATTCCAAAGATTTATGTTTTTTTTTAAAAATCCTATTTATTTACTCATCACCTACTTCTTGAAGTGTGATTCACCGTTGCCTCAAGTAATGCTACGATAATCTAGCATCCCTTCATCTTCTCTCTCGTGACCTTTAAGCAGTGCCTAGAAATTCCCTTGACCAGGTCCGACAGTCCCAGTCAGCTCATTTAGTTCAGCAAAGCAAGAGCCTCCATCCAGAAATCAGGACTATTATTATTATTTTATTTTATTTTTTGGTCAAACACTGAAATAATAAAAATAGCGATCACCCACCATTTACCTATTTTTGCCCATATGCCTTAAAATGTGGAGTCTCAGTCTACGCTTCACTTTCTCTCTGTAAAGATGTCTGCAACAATCAAACTTATTCAGCCGGACGTGATTTAAGCTATTTTTTTCTAACTAGAAATTTCAAGGAAATTTGGAGGGAAAAAAAGAAAAAGTTCTCACTACACATGTAAGCTATGGGCTCTGGTTTGCCTGCGATACACAATCAACACACGATTTATTTATTTATGTTTTTAAAACCTTCAAAATCCCCAAACTCCCTCACTGGTCACATATGGGACAGCACAGGGCCCGACGAATTTTACTCTATCTTACAAAAAAAATTCTCAATAGAATTTTACTCTATTGAGATAATTATCAATTATCTCAATTATAAAGCGACTCTGTGTGTTGCCAAAAGTCTCGGCTTTAAAAGTTGTTGTTGTGAACATGAGAAACAAACTTGCTGAAACCGCGTGTGACCAGTGTGCGCTATTAATCTCTGCCCTAAAATCGTCCCCTCAACCCTCAAACCTCATGCCAGATCTGGCTCAGCGACAGAACTGTGGGTTCGTCTGCGACTGATTGGGAAAGAAATGGTTGAAGTTTACATAAAGGGGGGCAGGTGGGGTCTGCGAGCGCTTTGAATTTTGCAGCAAATGCAGAAAGAAAGGGAAAAAGAAAAAAAAAGAAAAGTGGAAACGTTGTCCCACCTGCGGTTTTACTGTCTCTTTGGCCCTTGGCCTCTGCGATGGCAACGTCTGGAACGTGTCGGCGAACACAATAAGCCGTTTAAAGATACGAGGCAGGATGTCGGTAGGAATCCCTCGGAGAGCACAACGTGTAAAATTGACGTCTGCGATTCTAAAAACAAGCGTTCGGCCCTCATTGTTTTGCCAAGGAAGCGTCCCTTTACTGTAGCTGAAAAGGGTTTAAGGATGTCCTATTTCCCCCCCTGGTTGTATCTGTTCGACACATCCTGTCCCCTGTACCCACTTGTGTGTCACTGCGTGTGTGTGTGTGCGTGCGTGTGTGTGTGTTTACGTGGCATCCTCTCCAGCCTCTCCATCCGAAGATACTGGGATCAGCTTGCAGCCTGGCTTTGTTCTACTAATTTTGGATCCATTAATGACGATGCATCAGGGACTGGGCCAATCCGTTCAGAAAGTGTCTGTGTGTTGTTTTTCTTCTGTTTTTTTTTTTACATTGATCTCACATGTCAGAGCCATTAACAAAGTGCCTGAACACATCCACCTTATCTTGTGTATTTAAATCGGAAACAACAAAAAAGAATTGGTAAAAAAAAAAAAAAAAACACTGTACTAAATTGGATCTTTTTTTTTTCTTTTGTTTTTTTTTTACACTTAGCATTTTTACCTCTGTAAAAAACAACAAAACAAAATAAGAGCAAAAATTATATTATATATATCACGTGTATGTTGTACATTTCTATTTCTGTATTTGCTTTTTTAAGTAACTGTTTATAACATGTATGATGGATGTAGCTCTTGCTTTTGAGAAGGACAAGGAAGTACTTTGTAGATACGAAAGAGTGGCCAGGGCCTGTGAGAAAAATCACAGTGAAATGTGTGTCTTACCTTCTGCCTTTAATAAAACGAGAGAACACAGAGAAAACCCGCACGAACCCGCCGCGAGACGTTTCTGGTTTATTCCACGTATCTCGGCTCCAACGTGTCCGACCTGCGTGTAAATGTGTGCTTTCAACCCAAGATTCAGCGCACGGTGATGTGCAGCGGGTCAGATGAGCCTATCGACGTCGAAAATTTCTAGTTGGGCAGTTGACATAATATTCACCCAGGATGTTGGCAATGACCCAACTGGTCCACATGTACAAAGGAATCAAAGCAAACAGGTGCACAAATGACGAGATGGGGAGGGGAAAAAAAACCCCAACAAAACTCTACACATGCTCTGTAAGAACAAAAGAATATGTTCTCTGTCCTGCGGCTGCGAGAACATCTGGGCAGAACGTCTTTGTTGCCTGGTATCCAGCAACTATTAATCCTGCAGTGGCAGGAACCGGTGACAATTTCCCAAGATTTCTACCACTGGGTTCTTGTGACGTACGAAGCTCCGCGGCAAGAAAGAACTTTGTTATTGTTCTGGCCAACTCTAAAGCTCACATTTCTCTGTTCTTGTGAAATATGTGTAGGTTTGACGAAGAAAACGATGTGCAAAAGGTGTGTGAAGCCAAGAAAGCAGCTGAAGTCTGTTGGCGTTTAGAAAGCGTAAACCCTGCTGCTACCTTGCCAGGTCACTCTTGAAAATGAGACTGGATGATCTTTCAAATATACCTCAGCCTGTACAGTGGCATTTCTAAACTTATTGGATGAGCATTTGCCATCCATTCATGTCATGTGACCGAGACCAGAACTTCATTTTACTATTTCATTTAGTAGAATGAACTTCTTCAAACTTCTTCTAATGTCCGGTGCACCGGCTTTGCTTTCTACTTTTGGGATCATCAACCACCCGTCATATTACTGCCACCAAAGTGTTTCACAGAAAACCTTCTGTTTTCGTACTGAGATAGCTGCTGCAGCGGGCCTCATTTCCTCACGAGCAGCGGGACGAGGACGCCGGGCCTCCACGTCCAGGCAGCTGATTTGAGAACCCGACATGGAACCAAACTCCACGTTATCCCTGGAGACGGCACTGATCAGAGATTCAAAATTAAAAGTGGTTCAAGTTCGGTCGGATTGGAGGGGGGAAAGAACAAGAAAAACTTGTATTTTTCACAGCTGCCTCCCTCCTCGGCAGGAACATGTGATAGCCATCGAAGCCGTCGAGCTGTTTCACTCAGGATGTCTCTGGAAAAGCATGTGGGCGATAATGATGGAGCCCAGGAGAGAGAGAGAGAGAGAGAGGGAGAGAAGGAAGGGAGAGGGGGCGAGTAAAGAGGGGAGAAAGAGAGGGTCCCTCAGGGCTTTTGGGGCCTGCTAAGCAGCTCAACGGCTGCAAACAGCATCACAGTCCACATGTGCAAACATTTAAGATATCTGCCTGTGTAATGGGGTCAACATGGCCCCTCTCCCGGTGCACCCAGCACCGGCGTTCACTTCCCACCACAGTTTACAGAAACAAGGCGACCGTGGAGCTGACTCCAAAGATAGGGAAGGATTTGGATTTTTTTTTCTTTCCCTTTTTCTTTCTTCCTTTCTTAAGCCTTGGGTTTGGGTTCGGCATGGCTCGAGGAGAGCTGCAACATTCTGGCCTGTTGTTGCTCTGTCACGTCTGGCTCATTGGAGTTGGAGCAAATGCAACTTTAAAGCAGGAGAGTAAATGCACTCCGCTCCAATTTGTCCTTGAAAACATGAAGAAGAAAAAAAACAACAACACAAAAGCGGATGTTTGGCTGGTGAAGACATACTTTGGCGTGGACAGTTTTTACGAGTCTCGAAACGAAGCCTTTTCAGTAACGTCGGCAATTCACAGGTCAGACCCAGACTTGCAGACATGCAAGTATTCCAGTCTGCAATACTGGTATTGTGCAAGTATTTTTACTATACAAAGTATAAAAATAGTGTAATTCCTTGTCATGGGTTAAAAAAAAAAGGGTTATTTTTCCCATTTTTTTCCTCGGTCAGCTTGAGAGTGCGATCAAGTCCTTCTTATGATATATTTCAAACTTTTCACTTCAAAGCCACTAATATTCCAGTTTTTTGTATTCTGTTTAAAATCCTTCCAATTGGATTCCAGGGAAAGTTTCTTGTTTTTTTCCTTGGAGTCTAGTTCACCTGCAGTGCACCTGCTGCTCTCCACTGCAAGTCAGCTGCCTGAACGAAAGATGCACGCAAGCGAGATAATCGGAGGTCTTGCAGGTTAGTAGCAGATAAATGTGTGGATGTGCCCCAACTTTCTCCAACTGGACAGAAACAAAACTGAGGTTATGATGTTTGGACCTAAAGAGGAGCGATCTGGAATCGACGCGCCGCTTCATTACAGCTGGAAACTAGAGATCGGGCCAGAAATCTGGGTGTAGAGTTGGGACTCAGACCTGAACCTTCAGAGTCACATAAAGACGGTTACAAAGTCGGCCTTCCACCACCTGAAGACCATCTCCAAGAGTAGAGGACTAACGTCGCAGGAAGATCTAGTGAAACTCATCCAGGCGTTCATCTTTGGTCGTATTGATTACTGCAAGTGTCTTCACAAGTCTGCTTAAAGGAAAAAAATGAATCAAACAGCAACACCTGATCCAGAACACTGATTGCTCACGTTCCTAGTGTGAAACACTCCACCGCCAGCAGTGGAGGCTGGACGTTAGCAATTGGGTAAGAGATATTTAAAGAAAAAAAACCTTAAAGAGTTAACTCCAGTAAGGAGTCGTTTCACAGTAGCCGAGGGTCCAGACTCACTATAAAAAGAAACCCTAACCCCGTTCTGAGTGCAGTAGGGCGACGTCTCGGCTGGCTCCCAGACTTGTAGGTACCAGTTCAAGGTTACGGGGGAAGTGCTGCGTTGTCAGGGGATTAAAACAGAACCGGGCCGGAAGAGTCTGGGGTGAGATCTTTATTTCAGGCACGGAAAGAGTCTCTTCCTCTGATGGCGCCACTGCCTCCGCCACTGTTCCATTTCCTCTTCCTCCTTCTGGTCGCCGCGGATGAGCCTCCGTCTCTCTCTCTCCCGTCTGTGATGTCGAGTGCAAAGAATCCCTCCAGGTAACCCGTCTGGCATCCCATAGTTTAAGAAATTAAAATGAAACTTCTACACCTTTAAGCAGGCATAGAAATTGTGAAGAGACCCACACAGCCGTCATTATAAATCACTTTTATTTAAATCAGCGTTAGGCAGTTATGCTATGAACGACACAGGAAAATAAAAACAAAAGAAAAAAAAAACTGACAAAAAAGAAAGACATTAAAACATGAGATCCAGTTAACAATAACTGCACTTGGCACTGGATAAGACGTTCATGGAAAGGGGAAGAAAAAAATAATAATTATAAAGGTACACATTTTTCATACCCGAAATAATAGTGGCTCCAGTAACACGTCAAACCGCCGGAGCCTGGAGAACTTAAATATGTTTTTTTTTCTAGAATATTGGGATATTTTCCAACTTTAATGGCCGCTCAACCTGCCTCCAACCGTTTGGATCCGAGAGACAAAGCGGTACGACGCGGCGGTGGCCACTCGTATCCATGAGATTTACATCTAAAGAGAAGGTAGAAATGAACAAATACTCACTCCGTCCCGCTTCTTATTAACCGTGTTTCCCCTCCCACAACTAACTAACTAACCCCAAACGTACCGTCACAAACTCTCCGTCAGGCTTTTACTTTTTCTGTCCCTTTATGAATCAACCATCAATTTTCTTTTATATTTATAAAAAAAAAAATTTTTTTAAAAATCAAAGAAAAAAGCACAAGGATGTGTGTCACTCTGTGCATTCCATTTCCAACGGCTCAATGCACAACACCAGGAGTAAATCATGAAAAAAACAAAACAGTAATGTAGAACTTAAGAATCCAGCCACAGAAGAAGAGCAGAGCCATAAACCCTCACCCAGAAACCATGTCATATCATTTATATATATATAAAAAAAAAATAAAACACCAAAAAAATGTGATCAGTTCGCGCTCGCCTATAACAGATGCTGAAAGCGGCCGTGGCTGTTTGTGATGGACTGTGAATGCGGCGTTATGAGTTTGAGACTTTGCATCGTTTTAATCCTCCTAAAAGGCCTGAAGCTGGTGGAATGACCCATCTATCATCTCCACCGTGAAAAAAAACAACAACAAAAACAAAACAAAAGAACTTGTAAAAATAAAACATTTCAAATCGCGAAGCGGGAAGCTGCTTCGCGGGGTTGTGGGAGGCTTCCCAGACAAGTTTTGAGCCAATCCTGGAACAGGAGAGAAGAAAAGAGGAGAGGAGAGAAGAGGAGCAGGAAGAGAGAGAGGTAAACTCTTGATACTTTCAGATGTTTGAGGAAAATTCAAGAGCAGCTGATACTTTCAGGAAAAAGAAGAAAAAAAAAGAGAGAGAGAGAGGGATAAATAGATATAAACTCTGCAATATGGGCGAATGGAGGAAATGTGTTTGTGAATCTGTGTTTTCAGGTGTGCGGCTGTTCTGTCCGTCCCGCTGCTTTATCTGACGGTGACTCCGAGTTTTTCCAGCACGCGGACTCCTTTCTCCTGGTACTCCTCCCGGGTCAGCCAGAAGTTGTCCTTGTCCTTCATGATGTCGGCCAGCACCGCTCCACCCAGGAACACCATGTGCTTTCGCCTGGGAGGATCCTCAATCCGGATCTTAAATTTCTGCACGACAAGGGGAACGCAGAGGGAGTTATAATAAGTTTACAACACAACAGCGTGTTCCCCAGCGAAGGCCTTCGTGGTTTCTGTGATCCGCGGGGCGAGGGAGATCGGGATCGAAAACCCAACCGGCCTCTGCCGTGGGTGAAGATAAGCTTTTGTTCCCAGGATCAGGATTTGTGCCACAAAATGAGTAGTTACCATGATTAAAATCAAGCCAGTTTGTGTTTCCAGACTCAACGCTTTTACAGTGTGACCTTGAAGTTCCTCTCAGTTTATCTTCTCGCAATCCCGTTCCCAAACTGAGATGCCAAAAGACAAACCCAGCAGTAAAAACAGTAGTCTAGAGTTTTTACTCCACC